GCATACATATCACATAAACTCACATGAATCTCAAATGGAGTCTCTCCAGTCGCTTTAATATCTTCTAATACCCTCTCTGCCTCTTCGATGAGCTGCAACCTCGCTAACCAATCGACCAACACAGTATTCGTAGCAACCCCAGGTTTCAAACCGTCCTTTTCTAGGGTTAATAACAAACCCAATGCTTTGTCCAATAGATTTTTCTTGACATAAGCTCTCATCATGCTAGCAGTGCATCGATCATCTGGCTTATGTCCAGCCTTCATCATGTGATCAAAATACACACGCGCTTGATCAGGATCTCCAGCATGGCCATAAGCTTCAACAAGTAAGGTTGAGGATTCTAGAGTTGCTTCAATTCCAGCAAAGTGCATTGTGTTGACGATTCTTTGAGCTCCATCGACTTGACCTCGATCAGCAAAAGCTCGGAGAAGTTCCATGTAGATTTCTTTCGTGGGTTTCATGTCCCTTGCTTCCATTTCACGAGTCAGGGTTTCTCCTTGCTTAGGGAGACCAGCTTTCACGTAGGCTGTGATCATGGAGGTGTAGGCCTTGAAATCTGGGTGGAAACCCTGTTTCTTTAAGCTCTCAAATGATTCTTTGGCTTTGTCTAGGTTGCCAGACTTGCTATACATGTGTACTAGAATGTTGGAAGTAAGGATGTCGGGTTCGATGCCATTTTCGATCATTTTTGTTAGGATTCTCTCTGCATCTTCCAGGCGGTCTTCTTTCGAGTGGGCATCGATTAGTCTGGAGTAGTCGCGAATGTTTGGTTCAAATGATTCCTCAGTTAGTAGAAGTTCAGCGACCTGAGAAGTTAGAAAATGTCGTCATCGCTATTATCAAATGCAATAAGCTGCAAGTCCAAAACGCTTAAAATTCAAGAAAATAAAGGAAATATCTCCATAGCTATTATCAAATGCAATAAGCTGCAAGTTCAAAATGCTGTGACGCAGGAAACAACTGTGATGACATGATCGCATTAGCCAATATACAAGCCCAAGTACATTAACTAGGATAAGCATAGTAGTAACAAATATGAAGAAATTATATACATGAATTCTGGTTAATGACGTAAAAAAAATTAAAGTTAAAACTTCAATGACATCAAATTAAGCTTCCACTGTTTTACAGAGAGTTGTTTTGAATCTTAGAGGTATATAAAAGAAATTACAAACATTTGATAACCAAAAAAAAAAATCTCATCATTATATGCCATTGGCCTTAAATATATATTGCTCGCTATTTTCAGCATCAAACAACCTCCTACAGCAGAAAGTTAAGAAGAAAATAATATTCACCTAGAGCAGAAGCAGGTAGAACTAGAAATGGAGTTTAGTCTCCAGAAACCGCCTGATAAGTCATAATCTATGATATATCCGAATGATGTCATAAAGTGGTTGATGTCATGTCATACTAGCTGCAATGGCAGGTGAAACAGTCAATAGTTCAGAGAAATTTATTCTTTTCAGTCCATGAAACATATTCCTATCAAGCTAGAAGTGCTACTACCAGTGTTTTCCAATGTTTTCCAAGACGTGTGCCTCACTACGCTTCATGCGCCTTGCGATGCGGGCGTTGACGGAGCACCCCGCATCTGATACAGCAACGCCTTTTGCGCCTCACATGCATCCTGACTTTGCGCAGGATGCATGTGCTACATACCCGCATATTTTTGTTTGTTAACATTTCAATCGAATCTTTATACTCGATAATCCATATCCCAAAAAGTAAAATAAATCCATTAGGCCTTTTTAGTAGCTTTCAATTGAGAATCATAACTAATCCTTTGCCTGACTTGGTCTTGATTTGACATTTGATTTGAAAAATTATGAACTTTGCTACTATGTTGGGTGTTAGCATTTGAAATTAAGACCTTATATTGTGATTTTAGTAAGATATTATTTATCATGACATATTTTTTACGTGAATTCCTTAACATGTTCTTTTGTGTTTGATTATCTATCTTGAAAAAATATGTGTACGGTGTGCGCCTCACGTCACTCAGACGCGCGCATCGTGTTGCGCCTTTCGCATGTGGGCGTAAAGATACTTTGTGCCGCACATTGTGCCTCGCGCATTGACAACACTGGCTACTACAAGATAGAAAGGATCAGCCATAAATCATTCTGTTTATGAAACACCGAAGAAATATGACTGATCATTATACACATTCACGCAAGCGCACGCACAGACACTTGTCTATGCCGTCTTTCTGCAGTACACCAATTAAGCCAAAATTGATATGTATAACACTTGAATTTTTGGAACTTGTTGCTGGAACTAAGTTATGAATGCGTGTTTACACTAATACAAACTTTCAAGATAAGTTTGCATAAGGGTTTACACGCTTTCAATCAAACCTAAAATTCTGTTAAACCTATGAAGTTAGATTAAAACACTATATCTTCAGATGTTTGCCAATGACTAACCACTACTTAGTCATCTAGCTGCTATTCACCTTTTGAATATTTTACCATCTCTAATGTCAAATTGTGGATGCAGGTATACAAATATTTAATAAATTTGCATTATGGTTTACATGCTTTCAATTAAACATAGAGTTCTGTTAAAGCTATGAAAGCA